AGATCATTGGAGAAAGTGCATGCCTTTGATGTATAAAGTCACACATCCAGATTCTGCACTGTGAGAGCCTTGTAGTTTTCTGAAGGCTGATTTTAAGTCCTTGTTTAAAACCACCCAGGAAGGATCCAGCACTTTTGGGTCTGTTAGTTTCTTCAGGGCAAGAAAAATCTCAAAACCAGCAGTGCTTACGTGGGTAAATAGGAAACTCAGGCTAGGGAGAAGCCCCCAGTCATCTTCTAAAATATGTTCATCTTTACTTGCAAGTATTTACTTAGAAGTATTTATGGTATTTGTCAACTTGTTATGCAACCAAGTGAGTAACAGTAATTCCCTCATGTCCATTGGCACTTGAGGTAGAAATCTGTCTAAACTCTGGGAAGAAAGATTTATCTAAACCACAGAGGAAATTGTCCACTTACTTCATCTCTGTTTGTTGTTTTATTTATACTTTCTTCCTCTCTGGGATGTTTTTATTACCAGCAAATGCCAGAAGATTCTTGGAAAAAATGCAACACTTTGGGAATATGAAGTTTATAAATTTAAAGAAATTGGACAGCTTAAGGTAAGCAAAGCTTTATTTTAACTCCTTATTTTTACATATAGCATATTAATATTGAGATGGAAATAAACTGAAAATAATAGTTCTTTATTGAGAAGTATTATCCCAGCTGGAAAGAAAGAAAAACTTGTAGAAATTTTAAAATATAAAAATAATATTTTATGTTTATAAAACATTTATATTATGCATATGATAGGTTTACTTTATTTGCAGTTTTCTCTGTGTTTAGATAGAATTTTCATGTTCTTTTTAATGATTTTGAAAAATAGGTATAATCTCAGTACATTGTAAAACATAGGACTTTTTTAATTTGCTGAAGAAATAATATATTTTTAATTAGCATTTTACCTGTTGGAAAACAAATGGAAAAATTTGACAATGTAACACTAATAAAATTTTTATATTTGTTTTTAAATCTTTCAACAATATGCAACATCCAGATGAATCATCAGTTATTCCTGAGTTTAAAATGTTTTTAAATTTTTTCAGTATTTGTGGGCCTTCTGAATGCTCTCTTGGAATTATGGTATAATTTTTTAAAATCATGGTTATTTAGTTCCTCAACCCTCTGACTTGTACTGTGCTAGTCCCATAAATTTATTCTTCCCCAAGAGGCCCTCAACAGACTTCTTACGGCGTTTACCAGGCTGTTCCTCAAGGATTTTCTCAGTCCTGTGGCCCTCTTTACCCGGATGACTACGTAACCCAGATCTCTCTTTGGAATTGTGTGTGATGGCTACTTCTCTTTGTTTATAGTGCTGATAATGACAGCTAAATGTAACTCTACTTCCTTCCAAAATTTGTCCTCCTTTCAGTCTGTGTTTATCACACACAGTAAACCCATTCCCCCATGCTCGACAGCTCAAAGCCACTGTTCTTGAGAACATCTTACCTCTTGTTCTATTTCATATTCCACCTCGTTGCCATGTCAGCCCCACTGGGCTCTGCCCTTCCACTCCTGTATCAGCCTGAGCTGTTGGAAGGGCCTTCAGAAAGATCTGTGACTTCCCTAGTACCTATGGCTTCCCTCTTCCCATAGAATAAAATTGGGATTGCTTGCATGGCCCCGCATCTCTTCCTGTCCAGCCTCATCTCCCTTCAGTGACCCCCGTCTCACGTCTGTCGGGCCTCCATAGCACAGATGCACATCCTTGGCTGCACTCCTTTGCTACTGTTTTTCCCCTGCCAGATGTCCTTCTCTTGCTTTGCCTCACAGACCCCAGCCTCAGTGGGCACGGTTCTCCCCTGCTGCCACAGTCCTGTTACCGCCTTTCCTGCAGCACTCAGCATAGATTGGCACAGTTACCTGTGCAGATGTCTGCCTGTGGAATTCTGAGCTGGTGGGCGATAATGACCCTCGTTCATGTCCCAAGCCCAAAGCACGACCATGGTGTGTAGGGGGCACTCTAGGGTAACTGAATAGTACTGAAATATTTAACTTCTAACACAACACTGAAAATACTGTACTAGGAATACAAGAGGTATTTTTCCTAAATTCAGAAGACGACTGTGAGTTTTAAAGGTGAATATATTTCAGTTTCTGAAGAAACGTGATCAGATGACCTATACTCCTTGATTACCTAAGAAGTTGACTTTTATAATCTCTGTGACATTCTCTCTCTTATTATTTAGATTTTCATTAATTCCTCAGTAAGACCAGAGAAATAAAGGTTCACTTTGTTAATTTTTAAATTAGAAATGTACATTTATATCTTGTGCATAATTATGATATAGGTTCATTTCACTGCTTTTTGAAGGTTTTTTCTTTTTTCTCCCTTTCCCTTAGGCTATCAGTCCTTATTTGCCAAGAGGGGATCCAGTTCTGAAGCCACTCATCTACGAAATGATCTTACATGAATTCTTGGAAAGTGATTATGAGGTGTGGCATTCTGCTGTGGACATACTGACTTGTTCTCAATGGGAAGTTTAAGACATGTAGAAAGCAGAGGCAGGCAGTTCGCCTCGCGGTTAAAATGCCAGTTAGGCCACCCACAACCCCGGCCTCAGCTTTGACAGAACTCTGGGAAACGCTTTCATTGCTGGTTGTTTATTAAAGAATGTTACAGATGATACAGATGGAGAGATGTGCAGGGCAAGACATATGGGAAGGGGCTCAGGGCTTCCATGTTCTCTCTACAAAACCTGTCCTTTAGCCGGCGCCGCGGCTCACTAGGCTAATCCTCTGCCTAGCGGCGCCGGCACACCGGGTTCTAGTCCCGGTTGGGGCGCCGGATTCTGTCCCGGTTGCCCCTCTTCCAGGCCAACTCTCTGCTGTGGCCAGGGAGTGCAGTGGAGGATGGCCCAGGTGCCTGGGCCCTACACCCCATGCTAGACCAGGAAAAGCACCTGGCTCCTGGCTCCTGCCATCGGATCAGCGCGGTGTGCCGGCCGCAGCGCGCCGGCCGCGGCAGCCATTGGAGGGTGAACCAACGGCAAAGGAAGACCTTTCTCTCTGTCTCTCTCTCTCACTGTCCACTCTGCCTGTCAAAAAATAAAATAAAAAAAAAAAACCTGTCCTTTGATTTGTATGTTAGCTTGATTACTTAGGCATGATTGATTGACCTATTAGTCACTGGGGGATCTTTTCAGCCTTTAGCCGCTGTCCCTTCTCCAGAGGTTGAGGGGTGGAAAATCCCACCCACCTAATCCTGCTTTCATCTTCCAGAGCCCCAGCCCCCATTCAGCCCACTACCTGCACAAGTCACTGTGGAAACTCCAAGGATTATTATAAAAGTTGTGTGTGCTGGGAGGAGCCAATTTTTATTTCATAAAGTCTGATTTGAAGAGCGTCTTTCTCTGCTTTCTCCCTCTAAATAGGGTTTTGCCACGTTGATCCGAGAATGGCCTGGAGATCTGTATAACAATTCGGTAATAGTTCAAGCAGTCCGGGACCACCTGAAGAAAGATAGTCAGAACAAGACTTTACTGAAAACCCTGGCCGAACTGTGAGTATATTTTAGGACTTCTTTCTCTAAGTTGGTCTTCATTGTAAACTTTTGTATTCTGGAGATTGGGCAAACTCTGAATGAGGAAGATGCCACTTATATTATTTTTCTACCTTTACTAAGAACTTTTCATAAATCTCAAATAACAGTTAGAAGGCAAGGACAGTGTGTGGAACTATGCAGCTGTGTTGTCAGAGGAATGAAGTACCCCAGCCCTCAGCACTGGGAAGAGGCAGCATTGGGCAACAGAAGGGCAGCTGGGTTTTAGATCAGGCAAGCAAAACAGTCTGCCAGTGAGCAAGGCTCTGGATTCTGTTATCCTTAGAACTTAGTCAGTTAACCTCTCGAGCATCAGCTCATATCTGTACATTACAGGTTTTTCATGAGATCGTTTTAAGCATTGAGTGAGATGCTGTACTAGAGCACCAAGTGTGGTACCCAACTTTCTGGCCTCAGAATGGAAGCTTGGTTGCTATTTTCCGTATCTGTTGTGCACTCTTCTGGTGCAGGAAGCCTTGTGCCAGATGCCTGGGAGGCAGAGATAGATGATACACACTCATGCCGTCAGGGAGCCTCAGGCTAGGGCAGGAAGAGGGACACTGTGGGTCCATCCCAGAAGTCATCCTGTTGGCTCTTCCTCAGCACCCCACCCCCCTCAGGGGCCCCATCTTCTTATTGCTTTCGCCCAAAACTAACAGATGTTGACCAGAATGGCCTAGAATTCAGGACTGCCTCGGGTTTTCAGCAGAGGGGGTGTGTTTCCCGCATTCTCACTCAGAACACCCATCATCTTCCTTTGGAAAGCTTGTTCTAGATGTCCCTTAGATTTGGCACTACTGTTAATAAAGAACTAGCAATACAGTTCCTGTTTAGCTGGCATTCGGAAGCTGACTTAGGAACTTAACATGAAAAATCTAAAGGGAAAGAACGCATTTCAATTCTGTAGAACCCACTTACACATAGGCTTTTGGAAGATAACCCATTTTTCAGCTCAACGCTTAGGAATTTTGCTGATTTTTCTCTTACTAAATTGAGAATTTTTCATGCTGGTTCATAATTTATTTTTCTGGTATACAGATTTCAATAAAACTTTTGAGATTGAGCACTCCCCCCCATAAAAAATTTTATTACTTGAATATTACAAATTTTCTGAGATTGTGGTAAAATGAAAGACAAGGTTCTGAGAATGAGATACCTACTGGTCATGTGTAGTTAATTCCCAAGGAATTTTTTTTGCAATAAACTTTTCCCCTCTGAATAAATGTTTTAATTTTTAATATTATGCAACATGATCTGCATATGTATGTTTTAATTAGAGCTAGTGAAGACTATTAATTTCAAAACTTTTGCGTTACCAGGTACACCTATGACAAAAACTATGGCAATGCTCTGGAAATATACCTTACATTAAGGCATAAAGATGTCTTCCAGTTGATCCACAAGCATAATCTTTTCAGTTCCATCAAGGATAAAATTGTTTTATTAATGGATTTTGATTCAGAGGTAATATATTTCTTATTTGTGCTGGATAAACTAGCTGTATTATTGTAAATTTGTACTAGTTAGATATCTGTCCAAATGCTGGATTGGTGAAAGAGTCAGGTAGCCTTGCCATCTGCTGATCATGCTGGAAGCACTCTACCAGGTGTAGATGTTGTTATTTTAATAGCTTGCATTCATAAATCCTTTCCTTGATGTGGTTATTCTGCAAAAGAAAATGTAATTTGATAAGAAACTTAAAGGGGTGAGTGTGTGTGTGTGTTTGTAAAACAACTCATGTAATTCATAGAAACAAACCAGGCATATGCTCTGGCTCACTTAACATTTTAATCTCAGTTCAGAAAATGAAATTGTAAATACACTTCTATTTTGATCCACTTACTGCTGTTTTATTCTTGAGCTCTCACGGATCTCGCAGGAGCAGCTTCCACTGGTTTCAGCTGAGACTCAGGTCTAGGACATGCAGAATGTGTTATTTTATTGTTGGGCAGATGTGAGTAGTGAGTGAGTCATTTGACTAAAGTGGGGACTCAGCCTCCACAGCTCATAGTGGCTTTGTAAATGACACACACTGTGTATGCACACGTACACACTCACCAGTTCATAAAAAGGAATCTAATTGTAAGTATTGGTGACAGAAATAACAAGACTGAAAAAGAAAAAAAAACAGAGTTCTTTATTCAGAAAATTGAAATTTTAGGTAAATCAAAAAGTAGAACCCTAAGGGCTGCATGCATTTTTAATTATGTTTTACTGCATTAGCGCTATTACGTGTTATATTAATCTCCACAAACAAACTTTTTAGATAGGAGCTAGATCTACCTTTCTCTAAAAGATGCGGTAGCCTCCTTTTTTTATGATTCACGTCCTTAGAGGCGCAGATCCACCAAGCAGCAGGGGGTTCCAAGGAAGCTCAGGTACAAAGGCTCTGCTTCTCTGACAGAGAATAATTAAGAAAATGAGATGCCTAAATAAAAATTAATTGCATTTTCCCCACATCCAGGCTCTCCTCATGCCCATCCTCTTTCCCTCATGTGTCTTGAGAGCCTAGTTTTGCACACGTAGCCGTAGAAAAACAATGAATTGACCAAAACACATTTGTTATTCAGGAACGTGAACCAAAATTAAGGAATCATAGAGATTTCTGATTGGAAGAGAACTTAGGGATAATCTATCCCAGCATCCTTATATTTCAGAGAATGAAAATAAGGTTTGGAGAAGCCAGCTAGGTAGTAGCAAAGTCAAGAACAGGACCCAAGGATGGCTATTTGGCTTAACAATTAAGATGCCAATAGATTCAAGTCCCAGCTCTACTTCCAATTCCAGCTTCCTACTAATGCACACCCTGGGAGGCAGCAGTGATGGCTCAAGTAATTTGATCCTTGACCCACAGGGGAGACCTGAATTGAGTTCCTAGCCCCTGGCATTAGTGTGCCCTTGTCCCAGCTCTTAAGGACATTACCAACGGATGGTGGCTTTATCTATGTCTGCCTCTCACACAAGTGAAATAAATTAACTTAGGAAAAAAGAAACAGGATTCAGCAACTCTGTATAAGCCTCAGGCTGGTGGGCTGTCTTCCTGCTACTTCTTGTCGTAAGCTTTCTAATTTACGTTTCATTAATGTTAAGGGTGGCCAACGTAAATTCTAAAAGTCAGTAACCTTATATCTTTGTGACACTAAAGGTGTATTATTGTTTTTCTGGCTCTTTCAAATATTTTCTGCCTAAGACCAGTTCCTTATTATGTCTGTAGGCACTCATAGGGAGACTTAGTCAAGGTTCCAGTAGTCACAAGTAACGCTCATCTTTGTGGTTCTGGAATGAGATGTTTTCCATTAACTACCAAGAGTTGCATAAGAACTTATAGTGATGTCTTTGACATGAAGAGGGCTAAAATATGTGTAGCTGAGATTTTTTTTTTATATTTGGTGAGTTATAGCAAGACACTTTCCCAATAGTAGGCACAGCACACAGGTGTCAGATTGAGACTTCTTGAAAATGCATTTTTTTACAAATGTCATTTTAAATAAGGGCCATTGAAAAGCTAAGGGCCTCCTGAAATATAGAAAATAATATCTAACCTTTAACTGAGATAGCATATGCCTTATATTAAGTTTAGTATTCCCATCTTGTACAGCGGATTTCAATGACCATGACTATTTCTGTTTCAGAAAGCTGTTGACATGCTTTTGGACAATGAAGACAAAATTTCAGTAAGTGTCTAGTTTATGCTGCTAATAATACCATAAACTGGGAGAGTTATAAAGAAGAGAAGTTTGTTTTGTCTGATAGTTCTTGAGGTTGGGGGCTGCATCTGATGACGGCCTTCTTGCAGGCAGAATCCCAAAGCAACACAGGGCATTACCTGGTGACAGGAAGCTTGTGTGAGAGGCAAGCAGCATGCATGCAGAAGAAAGAAGTGACATCCCAAGAGAGGAAGCGGGGGAGCAGGAGTTGCACTTCTGTAACTATCAAACCATAGCAATGTGTTACCGGTTACCAGTTGACTGTCCGGAACCACTTCAGCTACAAAGAGGAGAGATGTTTATCAGATAATTTATCAGCTGCGCTTGTGTCCTCATAACTCTGTTCAAAATGTTCTTTTCTTTATAGATTAAAAAGGTAGTAGAAGAATTGGAAGACCGACCAGAACTGCAGCATGTGGTAAGCATGACAGTCTCTTGCCTTCTTGACTGAGTAGTGGGCAGATCACCTTTCAATACTGGAGCAAACATGCTGGAGTGAACTCTTTATGGAAGTTTTTTAATTCCTAAAATGGGGCATATGCTCTGAATCCAAGGCTAAGGGTTAAATGCAGATGAGACACTTGAACTTTGACTTACGGTTGAATTGTGATGTAGACTTCAATGCATTTTTGTGTCACTCTGTTACTGTGCCTAGGAGTAAGCACTTTCCCACTCTAGTCGCCATTGACTGGAGTCATGGCAGAAACCACTGCAAACTCTGAGGAGTACTGCACACGCTGCCGCCTTCTGCTGGGGAAACAGCACACAGCCTCGCTGTGTCCAGCACTACAGAGCAATCACAGCACAGCCTCAGCTTTCTTTCACCTTGATAATAGCCAATCCCTCTTCTCTCGTGTGGTCTGTGCTGTTAAGACCTGTTGTTCTAGATTTCCTGGGGTAGTGCTACTTGGATTCTGTGTACTGCATCATCATGAGAGTAGAGCAAGAGTGATGTCCTTTAAAAATTGTATAAGGAAACCACTGTATCATTTATGTGCTAGTACTTTAACATTTTAAAAAACTGACTTCTGTATTTCATATGACATGTGTGTTTATTTTTAATTTAGAATGTTAATGCATGCAAAAGTATTCAGCCAAATTAATCAGTTTTATTAGAGTTTGGTACTGGTTTTTGCTTCTCTGATTCTATATAACAAAAATAAATATAATTGAATTTCAAAGAAAAGAAGTGTAAGGAAAGGCTTCAGAAGTGATAGCGATTATGGAGTTGAACTGAGGGCATCAGATACAAAGAACACACTTACATCTCTGCCCATCTCCTTGCATCCCAGGACCAGAACCTGGGAGCATTTTATTTGTAAGTCAGCTTTATATATGAGACTCTTGAAGACTGCAGGTAGGCATGTGAGATGTTTCCTGGTCTCTGGTATTTTTTGTTGTGATTTTTGTTTTTTGTTTGTTTGTTTTTTGCACTGAGGGGTTGTGTAGTTGCTCTGGCTATATCATTCATGATCGGAAATCTCAACATTACTGCTTACCCAAGCAAGTCACCATGCTGCTGACCACTGTAGGGATTTGTTTATATGTAGTGGTTTCTTGCTTATTTAAGCCATAGACAGGATTAGGGGTAGCAGCTCTGTGTGACAATGTAATCAATTAGTGCAGTGGAACAACAGTGGGAAAGCCCACATTGGAATGGCTCTTCTCCCCTGCCAGACACATCTCTATAAATCTGGCTTAGCCAGTGTGACAGAGCCTCCCATCCCGTTGGCACTTCTGGGAGATGGCACCATACATCCCAGCTCCAACCCTGATCCCAGTGCCAGTCTACCAGCAGTGCTCCCTGTCAGACGTTGGGCCTATTGATGGATTTGGTCTCAATGCTGCTGGCTCTCCATCTTGGGAGGAGCAGTAAGCCAAGCAGTGATTCTTAAGGTGGTTACATGTGTCATGGTTAGGCTTGTAGGTGACTGTACCGCCACAAACGTCAACATCAGCTTCTCTAGCATTGCAGCTTCAGGGGGCAAGCTGATGCTCTGTGGTTGGCTGTGCGAATGCTCAGTGGTTTGTCCACTGGAAACAGGCCCTCATGTCATGACTGTCCTTTGTGTGAGTAAGTCTTCCAGCTCCAGTGGACTGCGAGGGTTTTGTTTACAGGTACGTTTAAGCCTTGGACATAGATTTCCAACTTCTGAGTACTCTGTTAATAGCCTCCACCTTACCTGAGAGTAAAACCGAGTGAATTACCCACTTCCTTTGACCGAGTTCATCAACTTTGTCAGCTAGGGCAAGGAATCAGTTTTGAAAACTAGCTTTTCACTTTTCATTTTTGTTTCAAATGTCACCAACACAGGCAGCATTTCATTGTACACACAGTTCTCAATAATACTTTAATAGAGACAAGCTGCAAAATATGAGAGCTAATTTAGTGCCTGCTACTTGAGTGTTCAAGAATATACACCTGTCCCGTGACTTTGCCCCCTTTCACGTAAAAGAATTTTTATGATCTAAGAAACACATTACATTAGTCAAGCATTTTATTTCTGAGGTGGAGATGATGAGGATGATGGTATTAACCACTTTAACATTTCAGGTGTGTTTAGTACATGTCAAGTGTGTCTGGTTCTGAGTGAGTTACAAACAGTAATTCATTTAAACCTCAAAACAACCCAATGAAATTTTTTCATAGATGAAGTCACTGAGTCACAGAGAGGGTCATGACTTGTCCAAGGCCACATCGCTGGTAAGGGACACAGCCAAGCCATTCAGGGCCCTTCTGGAAGATGTCAGAATTCCCTTGCTCTCCAAGAGGCATTCTTTCTACTTCTTCATCATTTAGGATTTTTCCTGAAAACTCTCTCTCCAGCCTCTCCATGGGAACTGACATAAAAATGGCAGTGTTGACCAGGTATTGCTTTCTTCTTGTAATATTCATGGCTTATCCTTTGTTCCTTTTAGTATTTGCATAAGCTTTTCAAGAGGGACCATCATAAGGGGCAGCGTTACCACGAGAAACAGATCAGCCTTTACGCTGAATATGATCGACCAAACTTACTGCCCTTCCTCCGAGACAGTACGCACTGCCCCCTGGAAAAGGTAAGGCCCAGGCTCCCCGTCTGGATGCTTCAGGTGAGGAAGCTGTCCCTGTTCCTGGGCTGGGTGCCACCCTCATCTGCCTTCCTCTGTCCACCTGTTGAAAACTGCTCCTCTCTCTTGAAGCACTAGGTTTGGCTGGGTCATTCCGATGAGAAGAGGCCCTGTGGGATTTGATGTTGCTGAGGCAGTCAGGCATTTCTGTGACAGGAGGAGCCCAAGACTCTGTTAGCCACCAAGCAAAACACACTACCAGGAGCCCAAGTCTGTTTCAGGATTAGAGTAGCACCTCAGAACTGGGAGAGGCTCAGATGGTGCAAGACGGAAGCAGCTGCTTCAGTCAGGAACCGAGTTTTTCTAAGTCAAGGGTGATGGTCCTGTCTGCTTTAAATGCCCTCCTCCTGTCTTTCTGTCTCCCACACTCCATTCCATTCAACTCATCGTGCTACTTGTCTCTCTTTTCCACTGCCTGTAAACTCCTCAATGACAAAGAGTTTATGTTAGTCATTCTAGTAAACCTCGTACCCAGTATATGTTACAAACACATTTACTAAATGGTCTGTGGCTTCATGAGTGAGTAGATGAATGAGTGAATTAAATACATACAAGTTTTATTTAGGACTAATTAAGAACTCGTATTATGAGACTGTTGTTTCAAAATAAGCTATAATACTTTAAATATTATATGTATTAGTAACTGGGCAATCTTAAGGCTGACAGTATTGTTTACCATGGTTCTTGATCCCATCCAGTGCTGTCGGACATCTACAAATATCTTACTGCATTTAGCTAGCCAGACAACAAATGCGTTTTAGTAGGCTCTTTGTATCAACAAAATAACATATGTGACCTGTGAGAGATAAGTAGAAAGAAGTTGGTAGCTAACCTACAGTTTATGCTAGAACGCTTACAGTTGTATGATGATTAAATGTATTAGATTTACTTTGAACCAAATTCAGCTCAGTGGATTTTTAAATTCTGTAGTCAGTTGGGAAAAAATGCCTGGCCAATATGCTAAAACTATGAAAAGCTTTACCATTTTATACTTGGGGCCCTGAAACATTTTCTTAAGAATACATGTGGAACTGCATCGTCATGCTCTAGAAATGAGGGCAGATGTTGTCCTCCTCTCCTATGGTGGAAACTCGCATCTGGAATTAGAGCGAGACCCTTACTCTTTGATCAGTGCTCCCATCTCCATGTTGGAGGAATGTCCGGTGTTTGCAGAGGGCATGTGATTGTCTCTGGGTGGCTCCAGTTGGCTTCTCAGGCCGAGCCATGCATGCATGGGGATGAGCAGCCATTCCTGGCTCGTTCTCACTCGTGAAGCACGGGGCATGGAGATCCCAGCAGGTCATGTTTCTTACACACGTGCAGCCTGTCTGACTTTAAGCCTAGAAGTATCCAGTTGAAAGCCTACTGATGTACCTGAAGGAAAGCAGCAGAAAATCATACTTGTAATTTATAGAACTCAGATTCTGTAGACATTTAGAAATTTTCTCTCTAACCCACTGAAAGCACCAAGTTGCATATAAAAATAACTCAGTTACTTATGTTTTAAGCGTAGTTTTTTTTTTTTTCCAGTTATCTCATTGTTTCTACTGAAAGAGAATTTTGAATAAAATAGGTTACAGACAGCAATTGTACAAATGAGCCATTGTAAAGAACGGGCCATCAAAGAAGGAGGTACCTTTCTCTGAAGGGAGGAGAGAACTTCCACTTTGACTATGGCCTTGTCTAAATAAGATCAGAGTTTGTGAACACAAGAGGCTTCCATAGCCTTGGCAGCTCATGACAAGAGCCTCAGGTGATTACTGATGTCATAAATAAGAGTGTCAGTTGTTAAATCAACAACACGAGTCACTGTGCACTTACTCCCCATGTAGGATCTCTGTCCTTATTGTGTGGTACTATGTGAATTAATGGTAAGTCTACTACTAAAACAGTACTCTATACTTTATGTGTCTGTGTAGGTGCAAACTGTTGAAATATTTATTTAGTAAATACTAAGTAGATCTTCAGTATACAAAGATAATTGAAAATGAATCTTGATGAAGAATGGAATGGAAGAGGGTCTGGGAGATGGGATGGTTATGGTTGGGAGGGAGGTTATGGGGGCGGGGGGGAGCTGCTATAATCCAAAAGTTGTACGTTGGAAATTTATATTCATTAAATAAAGTTAAAATAAAAAAATTAAAATTAAAAAAAAGAAATGGGCCATTGTAAAATAATCAAATTACTAATCCACACTTTTAGAGCTCCCTAAATGGGCTTTTACTGGGATTTCATCATCAGAGAGTATCTCTTTGTCAGGACCCATTGTGGGAAACCCATGTATTTGCAAAAAACATGTTATTCTACCTTTGTTCAGGTACCCAAAGCTTTTGCATTATGTTACTTTTTTCCTTAGAAATTAAAATTCTACATGCACCTAATCATTCTAAAAATGAAATCCTTTTATATTTATTTGTAAGGTGAAAAATATATACCAAACCAGGAATGACAAGATAGATTGCACATTTAATGTATCCCAAGCATGCTAGTTGTGAAGTGAAGGTCATGGGCTATAGCTTTACTTTCCTTGTCTCAAGAAAGATTCATAGGATACATGATCTCCTTTTCTCTTGAATCTTCATTGTAGAACTGAGAGACAGGTGTTTGGTGCGGCAGTTAGGACACCAGTAGGGACCCCCGCATCCCACATTGCGGTGTCTGGATTTGAGTCCCTGCTCTGCTGCTGATGCCAGCTTCCTTCTAGTACACTCCTGGGGAAAGGGGGACATCCTGACTCAAGTAGTTGGATTCTTACCACCCATATGGGAGACTTGGGTGGCGTTCTAGGCTCCTGGCTTTCATATAAATAGAATTTCTTTTTAAAAAACTTAAGAACTTGGGGCCAGCGTTGTGGCGTAGCCTGTAAAGCCACTGCCTGGAACACTGGCATCCCATATGGGCACTGATTCAAGTCACGGGTTCCACTTCCAGTCCAGCTCCCTCCTAATGTGCCTGGGAAAGCAATGGAAGGTGGCGCAAGTGCTTAGGCTCCTGCAACCACGTGGGAGACCTATGAGAAGCTCCTGGCTTCTGCCTGGCTCAGCCCTAACCTTTGGGGCCATCTGGGGAGTGAACCAGTGTCTAAATGCTCCCTCGCCCCCTCCCCTTTGAACTCTGCCTTTCAAATAAAAATCTTTAAAAAAAAAATTAAGAACTGAAAATTCTAATGCCTCCTCTCCCCAAGGAAATTTCTACTTAGAAGAGTTATAGATGAGTTGGCCCTATAGGTACTTGATGGGTTTTGTGTTTTTATTTTAAATGAGAAGTGTTTTAAGTTTAAAAGGCATTATTCAGAGTGTGTTGATCCACTATTGTTTATAATTCACTGTGGCAGAAGAACAGCTGCATCTTCTTCGTTTCTGGTTGTCTGCCTTTTCTGGGGTTGGTAACTGTTTTTTTGTTTTTGTTTGTTTATTTATTTGAGAGACAGAGTTACAGACAGAGGGAGAGAGAGAGAAAGGTCTTCTGTCCGCTGGTTCACTCCCCAAATAGCCCCAATGGCCTGAACTGGGCCAATCTGAAGCCAGGAGCCAGGAGCTTCTCCTGGGTCTCCCACTCAGGTGCAGGGGCTCAAGGACTTGGGCCATCTTCTGCTGCTTTCCCAGGCTATAGCAGAGATCTGGATTGGAAATGAAGCAGCCGGGTCTCAAACGGGCGCCCATAAGGGATGCCGGCGCCACAGGCAGAGGATTAACCTACTGTGCCATAGCGCTGGCCCCATGGGGTTGGTAACTGTTGAAAGGAGGTGTGGTTTCAAACTGGAAACTGGTTGAAATTTTAAGGTTCTAGGTTTTGTTTTTTTGTTTTTACCATTTATTTTGTTATTGGAAAGATAGAGTGATAGGGGAGGGGGAAAAAAAGATATGGGGGTAGGGAGAGAAAGAGAGAGAGAGAAGGAGAGACTCTTCCATGCACTGGTTCTGGTTCACTCCTCACGTGGCCACACAGCTAGGGCTGAGCCAGGTCAGAGCCAGGATCCTGGAAATCCGTCTGGGTCTCAAACATGGGCAGCAGGGGCCCAAGTACTGGGCCATTACCTGCTACTTTCCCAGGTACACTGTCAGGGAGCTGAAATTCAAGCAGAGTAGCCAGGACTCAAAGCAGCAATCTGATATGGGAGGCCAGCACTGCAAGTGGGGACTTAACCCACCATGCCACAACACTGGCTCCCAACTTTAATGGACTGAAATCCCACAGTCAGTAGTATTTGTCCAAAAACTTTGTAGAGACCCTGACATCACATCAGAAGCCGTTTAGGGGCCTCATTATTTAAGGCCACAGTTTCCAGGCCAATGTTGTAGCACAGTGTAAGCACCTGTGTCCCATATACAAGTTCCAGCTGCTCTGCTTCTGTTCCAGTTAACTGCTGCTGTTCCTGGGATGGCAGCAGATGATGGTCCAAGTATGTAGGCTCCCACTATCCTTGTGGGAGGCCTAGATGGAGTTCCAGGCTTCTGGCTTCAGTTGGACCAGCCACAGTCATTGTGGCCATTTAGGGAGTGAACCAGTAAACTGAAGAGATTCCTCTTCTCCCACCACCACCTCTCATCTTCTCTCTAATTTTACTTTCCAATAAATCAATCTTAGAAAAAATAAAGGCCAGAGTGTCAGGATTCAAAATCACTACAGCCCTTAAATTCAGGTTTTTATGAAGTTGTTCCCTCTATAGGAGAAACAATTCATAGAAATTTATAATATCTACAGTAATTTTAAAAGAATCAGAATCCTTTATGTTGCTATTTTGCTTTAGGATATGTGCTGTGCTTTCACATTCTTTCATTCAGTCTCTAAAGTATTGCAGTTTGGTGGATAGTGTGATTTTATACATGATAAGCAAAATCTTTGGGAGTTAAACCAGTCTAGAGCTAAGAAGTTGAGGAACAACACTTGGACCGTGGATCTCTTTAATATCAGGCCCCAATATTCTATTATGATTAATCATTTTTTAGGTTAACAAGATGATTAATAACTAAGATTTTTTAAAATATTGCTAGTATTATGAAAGAGATGTTTAATCTGCTAATCTGTCCTATTTTCAAATGCAGTCATCAGACACTAGTGCTCATTTTATACATCTGATTTGATTATGCCTAGAGTGGTTAAAAGAGGAGTGTCCACTTTATAGCTTTTTTTAAAAATAGCTAATTTATACTTGAATTTATGATCTTTCATATCTACTAGCATTCACAAGGTGGCAGTATTAATGAATTTAGAGGAATAAAATTGAAAGATACAGAGTTCATATATTTTCATTAAAGAAATGTAAAGAGAAGACTGTAAAAAAAATGATAGGAATAAAGACTTGGTAGAAAATCATCATTTAATCTACAGTTAAAGTTCCTGATGGGTACCCCAAATTTACTCTTTGTTTTATAACATCTACGGGACTCGCACGTGGGATGCAGATATCATAAGTGGCAGCTTAATCACTGTGCCACACACTGGCCTGGAAATACTGGCCTTTTACCCCAGATACCTAGCTTTTTTTCTTACCTTTGTAGTAAATCAAGAAAAGAAGCATTAAAAATCATTTTTGCATAGTGTTGTACTCAATATTTCATGAGTCTGTCTTTTTTTAGTTTTGACTGTGTGTGTGTGAGAGAGAGACAGATGAGACGAGACAGTGTCTACTAAAATCTTAAGGTTCCCTACTTTTCCCTCTAGAGGGAGCACCATGGTCCAGAAACATTCAGAAATCTAAAATGAGGAAACATGGTTTTTCAAACACTGTCAATAGTAGAAAAATTCGATGTACTAGAAATACTTTATTCAGAATTTCCGGAGATCTCTAGAGTCTCTACTTCCTCATTTGTGAGAAGAGGATAATTTAGGCTACTGCTAGAAACTATAACATGTGCCACTGTGTATAATGGTGATTGACAGGTGAGGCATACAGGAATCAGTAAACCATATTTTTAAAAAAGCAAATACGGATTTTCTAGACATTGGCTAGGGTTAGGTTGAACCAGGAATGATGAAAATCCTCAAATAATGGGGGCTTGAAGAGAGTAGCAGATTAATTCTCTGTCGATGGGTGTCTTGGTGGAGTGACCCTGCCACAAGTCAGAGACCAGGGCTCTTTGCTCCTGATCCTATATTTTGCACATCTTTTACATCCAAGTTTCCCAAAGCAGACTGGATGACATGACTACAAGTAAGGAAGCCCTGGGGTTCAAACGCAGTGCTTTAAAGGAAGATTCTGGAAGCTTCCCTCCCACCTTTCTTCTGCTGCTCAGTTGGAGGCATCAGACAAGTGGCTCCCCCACCCCGGGAAAACTGGGAGATTTTGTTGCTCTTTAATTTGAGCCCCATGTCCACTCAGTGTCTTACTGCCATGACAGGAATGGGAAGAGGATACTGGGGACAGCTAGTTGCTCTGCTACCTAATTTTTAAATCTTATGTCATACAATTAAGTGTTTCTTCCTCATTGTGACTTTCCATTATATAACTGACATATGTGGCTTTTATTTTTCCTTTTTTGCTGCATTGTTCTCTGTAATCAGCCTTTTTTTCTGCCCTTTAGCTGATTTAAAACATAAAGCCTACAGAAACATTTTCAGTCGAAACTCAAAATATCAAAACCAGCTCCTGCTGTTACTTCCCAAGATAGGTTATTGAGCCAAAAGAGCTAATTAACTTGAGCTGTTCTTTTTCTCTGATTCTTGTTTTTAAAACAACCAGTTAAGGTTGTTTTAAATATGCAAGCTTCCTCCTGAACCTTTTTCTTCCTGGTCCTTTATTTTAAAATCATGTGTTATGTACCTTGAGTGGGCCAGGCATTGTGCAACCCACAGGACTCAACATGTGCATGGTCCCAGCAGAGGCAAATGAAACGACTGATCAGGCAAATAGTTGGTTGCTCCAGCGGTGAAGTGCTGTGGGGCCGTGTACAAGGTGCAGCAGGATGGGGCACCTGGAACCCGCTCTGCAGTGGGGTCCTTGGGAATGCTTGTCTGAAGTCCTTGCCAGGTGGAGGGTACAGGGAGTGAGGGCAGCTTTTCCGGTGGAGGGATACAGCGGAGAGATGAACACCACTCAGAATGCACAGCCTGACTCTGGACAGCCTGCATATCTGCAGAGCATGGTAAGGATTTTGGCTTTAAGTCCAGGCATTGAGAAAGGTTAGGAAAGAGGGTTACACAGGCTTCCCTCTGAACTGTACCTGGTTTAGATCCCACCTCTCCTGTAGAACCTTTCAGAAAAGAACCACATGAGTTCAGTGTCCCTTCCTATGCACACAACCCTGCCTGTGCACATGGCCCTCCCTTGCTCATACATGAAAAGGGAGACTTCACAGTACAGCAGGGGAGTGATGTCCCAGCTCTGTCACCCCTCCTGGACCTTGAGCTCCCTCGAGTGAACTCATGGTGGTTCTGCCTCTACTAACTCTTCTCCTCCTGCTCTTTTTCACCTCCTAGGCGTCATTATCATTGCCATCTTTATCACTGTCACTTGTGTATCTCTAGCAAATCTGACCTCCTAGTGCCCAAGACAGAGCATATGGTAAACGTGGCCAGTTCATGTAAAATTATTTCCCCATATATAGCATGTCTGTTTTTATACCCTTGGAAATGCTGTCACCTGTTTGGCCCCTAATTTCATTTGTTTTCCACCTGTTTGATTCTTCTTTCCCAGCATATATGTTTTTTCCTTCATTTTTGACAGATCCTTGTGCAGAGTTTTTTAAACCCTGTGAGCTAGCAATAGAAATATTCCCAGTAAATTCATTCATTCATTTATACCACTGAATACAGCATGTGTTAAATACTGGGAAAATGCTCAGAGTGTTCAGAGTTGCTTCAAAAATGTTGTCAGTTAAACTGTAGAGACAGACTCCAGGACCTCTCAGAGAGGTGCATGAGGACAGCCACCAGGAAGATGCAGGGATATTCGTTTTTGTTTGTGAACTTTTAAAGGAAGGCAATGGCAAAATGTTTTCAAACTTGAAGTTCTTACGGATTCTACTGATATTTATTCTTGGTTCATATGCCATGATAACATTTTTACCCTGCTGTAATTGCAGGCTCTTGAGATCTGTCAACAGAGGAATTTTGTAGAAGAGACAGTTTATCTTCTGAGTAAGTAACTTTTATTCATTTTGCTCGAAAAGGGTAAGAGTATGCCATGAATTGTCAAAGTTGTGGAAATTTCAAAAAGTTGTGGAAAAAATGGAATCAAAGGATAAATTTATTTTGGAGGGTGGGGAAAAATTCTGAAATCTATGCATAGTTTTTTTTTTCATAATACAATTTCCCACAAGCTCTTTGAAGACTTCCTCACTTAAGAATGAACCTAGATTTTAGTGCAGAGGATCACAGAAGTTCAAATCTATTTTGCATGAGAATTGAACACATGAAAAGGGAGACTTCACAGTACAGCAGGAAAAGTTGTTGAATAAATACTGTTGAAATAATGTATTAGTGATGTGTGATAAACAAAAGGAACAGTAAAACTGTCCTATATACCACACAACATATATTGAAATAAATTGTAGATGGGTTGATAGCTTAGGTTATCATCATATTAGAATACAAATAATATTCATTTTCAAAATTCACACCCGAAATAAGGAAATGCAGTTGATGATGGCGCTCTCGAAAGAGGAGAACTTTTTAACACTCTCTAGCTGTATTTGTCAGTCCTGCATGTGTCATAGCCCTGTACCATGCATCCCAGAGCCCAGAACACTTACCTGTTCACATGTCTCCACAGGAGCCACACGTGTAAGAACAATGTGGTTTTATCAGAGATTTCGAAAGGAATCTCTGTGCAGGTGTCGGTGGCATACAACATGGAGCCCCGTGGGATGCTGCCCACCCCAGTAGGGTTTTTCCACTTTCCCTTCCCTCATGCAGCACTCACCCTCATTGGCTTCTTTAGCCTCTGTTGAAAAACTTCTCCAAATCTCCTCTTCCTGTTTCGGCATTTGTAGGTTCATGGGTACTCAGCATAGACCTAGAACTGTTCTTCCAAACCATGTGCACTTCCAAAATAATCTGCTGGAATAAAATTTTGTCACAATATCATATTGTCTTAGAAGCAGTAGAGAACGTTTAAAGGCAGACATAGTCTCATTTCATAAAAACTGTAAAATCTTACACATTTTAAAATGTTAACTTTATTTAGAGACATAAACTGGAAAGAATATTTTCAGGAAAAGCAATAGAGGGGATATCAAATGAGATGTCATTTTATTCAGAAGCCCCCTGTTGTCAGTTAATACTGGCTGCCGTGGTGAGAGGATTCAAGATCCTTTACCGATTCCAGTGCAGGCCAAAGGACAGGGGTAGGGATTATATTCCACATCTCTCCACTGACAGCTGGGCCTCCACTGAGTAGGGCTCTCTTACATGTATTCCATTAAAAACCCAGGGAAATTATTAAAACCATTGAAATGCCAATAGATCAATGAGTAATGTGTTTAAAGACAATTAGCTAGTAGAAGCCCAATTGGTAAATACTTGCTGTCATGAGGACTGTGGAAAGGGCTTTCCCCTAAACTTGCAAAAGAGCACAGTAGAATAGTCCTCTGATAAATGAGTTTGCAGTTGGTCCAAACTGTGACAGAGGAGCAATATGCAAAGCTACCTAAAGAGGCTGAATGACACTGAGGCCTGTTAAAATCTTAATTGTATCTGAGTGTGAAGGTATCAACATCCCAAAGAAATACACCCCTACTGAAAGGAAGTCAGAATCAGACCAAGGTTCAAATTCCAGCTCAATCATTTAGTAGCTGTACGATCTTGACCATTTCTATTTCCTCTCTGTAAAATAAGAATATTGTAGAACATACCTCATAGGATTTTACTGATGATTTAAGTGATTATAGTCATATAAAGCACTTAAATGAGTACTTAGCACCAAAAATAGGAACTATTTATTTCACTGTGTTATGGACAGTAATTCTTTTTTTTTTTTTTTTAAACTTTTATTTAATGCATATAAATTTCCAAAGTACGACTTATGGATTACAATGGCTTTCCCCCCATACCGTCCCTCCCACCCACAACCCTCCCCTTTCCCACTCCCTCTCCCCTTCCATTCACATCAAGATTCATTTTCGATTATCTTAATATACAGAAGATCAGCTTAGTATACATTAAGTAAGGATTTCAACAGTTTGCTCCCACACAGAAACATAAAGTGAAAAATAATAGATGATTTTTTTAAATGATGATGAAATCAGAGCAGACCTATTGTCATGTTTAATCCCAGTGAGAGTCAAGTTGGGAATTGATAATTTCTTTCTTTTTTTTTTACAGAGGATCAGTTTAGTATGCATTAAGTAAGGATTTCAACAGTTTGCACCCCCATAGAAACACAAAGTGAAATATATTGTTTGAGTACTCGTTATAGCATTAAATCTCAATGTACAGCACATTAAGGATAGAGATCCTACATGAGGAGTAAGTGCACAGTGACTCCTGTTGTTGACTTTACCAATTGACACTCCTGTCTATGGCATCAGTAATCTCCCTATGCTCCAGTCATGAGTTTCCAAGGCTATGGAAGCCCTCTGAGTTCTCCGACTCTTATCTTGTTTAGACAAGGTCATAGTCAAAGTGGAGGTTCTCTCCTCCCTTCAGAGAAAGGTACCTGCTTCTTTGATGGCCTGTTCTTTCCACTGGGATCTCACTCGCAGAGATCTTTTGCCAGAGTGTCTTGGCTTTCCATGCCTGAAATACTCTCATGAGCTTTTCAGCCAGCTCCGAATGCCTTTAGGGCTGATTCTGAGGCCAGAGTGCTATTTAGGACATCTGCCATTCTATGAGTCTGCTGAGTATCTCACTTCCCATGTTGGATCACTCTCCCCTTTATTTACTCCATCAGTTAGCGTTAGCAGGTACTAGACTTGTCTATGTGCTCCCTTTGACTCCCAGTCCCTTCACCATGACCAACTGTGAACTCAAACTGATCACCTGGAACAGTGAGGTGCCATTGGTACATGCCACCTCGATGGGATTGAATTGAAATCCCCTGGTAGGCTTCCAACTCCACCACTTGGGGCAAGTCAGCCTGAGCATGTCCCAAATTATACATCTCTTCCCTCTCCCATTCCCACCACCATGTTCAACAGGGATCACATTTCAGTTAATTTTCAACACTTAAGAATAACTGTGCATCAATTACAGATCTAAACCAGTCATATTAAGTAGAACAGATAAAAAAACTACTAAGAGGGATAATGTATTTAGTTGTTCATTAACAGTCAGGGCTATGCTGATCAAGCCACCATTTCCCATAGTGTCCACCTCACTCCAACAGGTTTCCCTCTTGGTGTTCAGTCAGTCGTCACCGATCAGGGAGAACATATGGTATTTGTCCCTTTGGGACTGGCTTATTTCACTCAGCATGATGTGTTCCAGATTCCTCCATATTGTTGCAAATGACTGGATTTCGTTGTTTCTTACTGCGGTATAGTATTCTAAAGAGTACATATCCCATAATTTCTTTATCCAGTCTATCGTTGATGGGCATTTAGGTTGGTTCCAGGTCTTAGCTATTGTGAATTGAGCTGCAATAAACATTAGGGTGCAGACCGCTTTTTTATTTGCCAATTTAAATTCCTTTGGGTAAATTCCAAGGAGTGGGATGGCTGGGTCGAACGGTAGGGTTATCTTCAGGTTTCTGAGGAATCTCCAGACTGACTTCCAGAGTGGCTTGACCAGTTTGCATTCCCACCAACAGTGGGTTAGTGTCCCTTTTTCCCCACATCCTCGCCAGCATCTGTTGTTGGTAGATTTCTGCATGTGAGCCATTCTAACCGGGGTGAGGTGAAACCTCATTGTGGTTTTGATTTGCATTTCCCTGATTGCCAATGACCTTGAACATTTTTTCATGTGCCTGTTGGCCATTTGGATTTCCTCTTTTGAAAAATGTCTATTGAGGTCCTTGGCCCATCTCTTAAGTGGGTTGTTGGTTTTGTTTTTGTGGAGTTTCTTGATCTCTTTGTAGATTCTGGTTATTAACCCTTTGTCTGTTGCATAGTTTGCAAATATTTTTTCCCATTCTGTCGGTTGTCTTTTCACTCTCCTCACTGTTTCTTTTGCAGTACAGAAACTTCTCAATTTGATGCAATCCCAATAGTTGATTTTGGCTTTGACTGCCTGTGCCTCCCGGGTCTTTTCCAGAAATTCTTTGCCTGTGCCAATATCTTGCAGGGTTTCTCCAATGTTCTCTAGTAACTTGATGGTGTCAGGTCGTAGATTTAGGTCTTTAATCCATGTGGAGTGGATTTTTGTGTAAGGTGTAAGGTAGGGGTCTTGCTTCATGCTTCTGCATGTGGAAATCCAATTTTCCCAGCACCATTTATTGAATAGACTGATGGACAGTAATTCTAATATCACATAAGAAAATATACTTTTGGCTTTCAAACTGTGTTAAGATATACTCTATTTCTTATTTTTAAAATAAACTGGGGCTGACATTGTGGCATAGTAGGTTAAGACACCACCACAATGGGCACTGATTCCTGCCCCAGGTGCTCTCCACTTCCAATCCAGGTCCCTGCTATGGCCTGGGGAAAGCAGCAGAAGATGGCCCAAGTCCTTGGGCCCCTGCAGCCATTTGGGAGTGGGCCAGTGGACAAAAGATCAATATCTCACACCCCCACACCTCCATAACTTTACCTTTCAAATAAATAAATAAATAAATGTTTTTTAAAAATAATGAAGTCTTTTTCACTTCCTCACACCACCTAGGCCGAATGGGAAATAGCCGAAGCGCCCTGAAGATGATTATGGAGGAGTTACATGATGTTGATAAAGCAATCGAATTTGCTAAGGAGCAAGATGATGGAGAACTCTGGGAAGATTTGATATTATATTCCATTGACAAACCACGTAAGCAGAAAAACTACCTGCGATTTTCACTTTTTTCTCTTCAACAGCCAGTTATGTCTAGAGTAAGAATTATCTCGATACATTCATTTAAAAATACGGCAAAATATCTACAGTAAAGGAAGCCCAGGTATGTTGTACTGATAGATGATACTCCTGTGCAGGGAAACCTGGAGCCTCATCACTCTGCACTACCTGAGTGTGATCAACAAGTGGCCACACAGCTTCTCAGCCGTGGCCCATGAGGCACATTTTTACCTGCTGCACATTGAATAAATGTCCTCCGAGTTGCTCTGGCTTAGTTTTGTTTTTTCTTCTATGAGACCTTTATTGAGAGACGTTCAGCCCTTACCAGTCTCTTTTTATGGAAACATGTTGTTTCTGGACTTTGACCATAGTTGGGTGCCTGCATTGTAGTATTTAGTCTTTTCCTTTCCCACCCCATTTTATCAATGTAGCACTAGGAGTTCACATTTGTTGATTCTCAGCTTGACCGTTTGTGTTGTGCCTCCCATTTTGGAAAGAAACAAACAAAAGCAGTCACCTAACAGTAACCCAAGTCTTCCTTTGAAGATACAAATGACTCAGAAAGTAGCAGTGATTTATAATCTCCCTTCTTCCTTTTTTGTGTTTAACAGGTAGAAAGGCGCTCTTGTTTATGAAACTATGTTACTCTGAAATTTACTCTAATGACTGTGTTCTCTTGAAAATGTAAAGAATTGCATTTAGCATAATTAAGTGGGGGTCTGAGGATCTGCATGGATAAGGGAGACTACAGAGAACACATCCTGAAGTTGAGTCCTGTCTTCTCACTCGAAGGCCCTGTGATACATGAAGCCCCATTTCCCTTGTCTGTAGAATGGGGATACATCACCTTACTACCTTGCAGAGTTTTGGAGAAAAGTGGGTAACAGTTGAGCCATTTAAGTCCTCAGGAAATAGAAGTTGCTCCCCTCCTTCAACATTACAAACTCCATTTTGAAAACTAAGTCCAGGTCATTTGTTCAGCTGCTTTTAAAACTCATTTAGTTTCTCCTTAATATTTCAAAGGAAGTTAGTTCTGTAGAATTTAGCAGATTGAGCTTAAAGGAAGATTAGTTCTTAAGAGTTCAGAAATACAAATAGTTATATTAACACTATGAAGGAGATAGTTTGTT